AAAGTAACATGAATACTTAAAATAAAACTTCTAACATTTAAATTACATAAGTAATTTAGAGATTAGTTATGCATAATTAATGATAATGCTTAAGATGATTTTTTTTTTGATATTTTAGGGAGCTGATTATTGTAGGTAAAGATTAAACATATTTGAAACAAGTCATACAATTTTGAGGTGAATACTCGTACTTTTAGTTATGGTAATATTTTGGTATTCTCGATTTTTAATGTTTTAGTGGACAATGAGATTGACACTCTTTATTTTGATTTATATATTTTCCTTTATTAGTCACATTGATAGGAATGCTTGTAGTGACTTAATATCATACATGTTATATATAGTATATTGGATTGAATGCGACGAACACGTGAATGATATATCTATATTGACTGTTTGTATGTGTACGACTGATGGAGTCATCCCTTGACGTACTAGCGGGGGAACATTAAGGTACTTGTGCACGTATATGGAAAATGATATTAATATTGATGTGTCTTAATTGTCACATTTTTTAAACGGTATTTTGTGACTGTTGTACAAATATAAAATGTTACTAATAGTTTATTGATATAGCAAAATTTTTTTAATAATTTTAAATATTTTATCGATTTAATCCAAGCTTGACTGACATGCATATCGGCTCCATTTCTCTCGTTTTACTATGATTTTTAAGTATGAGCTTTCACTGACTTGTTTAGCTCATTGTTATTCTTAAACTAAATTTTTCAAGTAAATCTTAAGTGATTAAAAAATAAACGATAGAATGAAAAACATTTATAGAAGAAGTAGACAACTATTAACAAAAGAAAAATTAAATCTATTATTTTAATTAAATTGATTAGCGACTCTTTCATATGTTAATAACATGTTATAAAAAATGAATATCGAAATTTAATTTTTCACCGTTCGACCGTCTGTTCCTGTCTTGGTTAATTCCAAGTCTCGGTTTGGGTCTTGAAAATTATAATGTACTTGTATTTTTTTTCAGCTGTCCTTTCATAGGTCTAGTTTAAGTCCAACAGAATGTTTCTCTTCAAACTTCATAAAGTGAATTTATTGCCGTAGGGTATTATATAATTATAATCCTCTGGTATGGAGAATGTCAATCTTGACACCACTATAAAGTGAAAAAATTGCATAAGGTTTTTTCCAGATATCACTGAATAGAAGGGCTCCACGCAAACAACGAAGTTCATGTGGATATGCACTGTAGGACTGAAGGCTCCCACCTTCTAAAAGAAATTATGGGTTAGTTCAACTACAATAATCTGAATCTTGCTAGAACATAAGATCTAACACACATGTAAGCTTTTAGACCCGTTTGAACCTCTTAAGTTGCTTAACCGCAGAAATGATATGCGACATACTCCATATTTAACAGAATCAAATTGCTCCAATATTATAAATCTAATAGCAATTAATCCGAAACACTAAAACAAGTCATGCACCAGCATAACCATTAAAAAATCTAATCCATTCACTTGAATTCAACTAGCCAAGGAGCAAAATGGAAACATAAGGATCACCATCACATTGATATCAACAACTTGTTTTTTAACGTGGCTATAAGTGACTTTATTATTGCTTGATAGTTAGATGCATATATCTTATCTAACCAAACTGCAATTTGTTTGCTATTAAAATATAAAGACCATTCCCAACCATTATTCTAAGAACTAAATGCCATTATCCCCACAATTAAGATCTAGAATTGATGGTTTCATTTGTTTCAGTATGAAGAAAGTAAAGCAGCAACCGTTTATTCTAATTTGCATTGTTAAAAAAATGTCAATTCTTGATATTAAGCTAGTAAAATGTATGCAGATTGACAAGTCGGGAAGGTTCACCCCGTCTATCAAACTAGAATGTAATGCTTTCTTTGCCCAACACTCCAAAATATATTTCTGTCTCCGCTTTGATATTATTGAGTTTTTCCATACCGACAAGTTAGTAATCTTCTTAAGTCTATTAAATGTTATGAAGAGGAATACTTACCATGGAGAAAATTAGACCATAAAGAATTCTGCAGAAACATCCACTAAATCATAAAGGACGTGACTTTAATAAGGTCAAAGAAAGATCCAACACCAAAGCCCTATTCAGATTCTGGGTAATAAACTTTTTTTAAGGTAGTCCAGATGATTACACTTTCATATTGTTTAACCGCCGAGAGGAATTCTAAGAAGAATTCAATTGTTGATAATTTTTTAGGTGGGTTTAAAGTTCAAAGGATATAAAATTAGGGAAATTTATATAATATACGTCACAATTCTTGTGTATTTACATATCAAAAAACTAACTTTTAATTTTTACATTCGTAAAACTTTGATGTTGTAAACCTGTGCTTGAAAATGTGTATTTCACATTTAAAAGGTAGGTAGCAGTAGTAATTTTTTATACAATGTTAGAAAATTGAGTGTGATGCATGTAAATATGGAAGTTTAGGTGTTAGATATGTAAATATACACGAATTGTATGGTGTGTATGTAATTTCCTGGAAACGAAATAGTCAAAAGGACATGTTTGATCAGGTTTAATTTTCCACAAGAGAGAAAATTCTCATCCCAATCAATAATTTTATTCTATATTTTCTGAATGATATCATCGAGCATATCCTACCTTCTATGGCCTTTATAAGTAAGAACTTTGAGATAAGATATTGAATATTTATACGGGGAAGACCTTGTGGTTCCACTGATAGTATTAATTCCATTTCTATGGCGTTTATCTTGTACAATAAACACAAATTTATCTATGCTGATGAGCTACTTCAAGGTGGACAAATGTTTGTGGTAGAATTCCTCAAAATAAGTTATTAAGCTCTTTTAGAATAAAAAGAAGGGGAGACAAGGGATCAACTTATGACTCCAATTGGATTTACCGAAATCACAAGGGATGCCGTTGATAATGAGGGAGAACCAACTATTAGAGAACAAATGTTTAATTTGATTAATAAAGCAATTTTGAAAACAAAATTTACTCAAGATAAAATGGTTTGACTAAGTTGATGTTTTATTCGAGTTGGGATTGAGTAATTATTAGTTTATTGACCTGTATTAAGCTTGATTTTAGCCAAAATTGGTTTAATTTTTGAGTAATTTTAGTTCTTCGAGTTCAATTTGCAGCCTTGGTTGAAGGTAAGGAAAGATTTTATAAGTCCTTTTCACTACATGTGTGGAGCAATTTAGTGGACTTTTGAACAGTGTTGAAGATATGTATGGGTGTGGGTGATTGTGTTGTTTTATTCTCATACTTTCTCGTAAGCTTGTTCTTGTTAAGTGGTTATAATAATTGTTCATACTATTCTTCTTTAGATTTTAAATCTTCCAGTACACGTAAAAATGTGAAGCAAATGCATGGAAATCCCACTAATGCAGGTTATGAGAGGGTTGATATGCATAGCGTGACCCATCTATTTACAAAGTGATTGCTTTTACCATTCAAACATTTTTACTCTAAATTATAAATAAAGGTAACTTAATTACACACATTTCTAGCATATTATTATTAATCACCACTATTATTCCTTACTGAGTATTTTTTGCTTAAAATAATTCAGATGTATTTAGTTTGTATGGTAAAACTATTTTGAATGCACGTGCATCAAATGCACATAGATGAGCTTATTGAAAATTTTTAGTTGTTTTAATTATAGAAAAACAATCAATTTTCTTAATTCAAACATTATTCAAAGTTAAGATAAATGACTTTTAGGCATGAATTTTTATGCATGCAAATATTGAAATACTAAAAAATGTGCCATTATAAATACACGACCACTATTTTTCTTTTGTCAGTAGAAAAAGTAAAAAAAATTGATTGATAGATTCATAAATGGAGAGAAATATAGATATATAAAGAGGGAGTGATTCCCAGCTCTCTCTCCCCTTGACAACCTCAACGAGCTGCATTAGAATCATGCTGTATTTTTTGCCATCGCACCCAACTAACAGGAACCAAACTTTTGGCTTCTTTATGTTGTCATCAGAATGTCCAACATGATAGAGCGTGACTAGAGATACTGGGGTTTGAGCTTTGTGATGTGGGAGCTCTAACAATTTAACTTCAAGATTGGATGTGTCTATGGTTGCACCATTGGGCTTTGTTTTCTTGGGTGTAAGTGTGGGTAAGGGAAGGTTAGTGAGAGAGGGTGATGTAATGGAGGATTATGTTTAGGGTTAAGGATTGTATTTTGGTGGCAATGGCGGTGGAACGTTTGGGGGTAGGAGGGTTTAGGGCTTGGTGAGGCATCACAATACGGAATAGTCATTGAGATTATGAACTTATGTGGAATTGCTTTATTATTATTATTCCTATTTGTTACTGTAGCTGAGATGTGGTTAGTGGCAAACACTAAAATCTTCTATGAAAATTCCTCAATACAAATCATTTTGCAGATAAGTGTTCTTATTCATAAAAGGGAAAAAAATTGTGATTCTCATGATTAAGAATGGTCAATGGTTGGAATGTCAAAATGAAGGTTTTGGGTTTTTTGTTTTCTGTAAGATCTCGAGTGGCTTTTTAATTGCAGCATAAACTGGAAGAGCTTGGAGAAAATTTATGAGTTTAATGTTTAACACCAATTCAGACTCCCTCTTATCATGTGCCACAAGTTCTACATACTGTGCTTCACACGAAAAAAAGGTGATTGGGCACTTTCTATTTTCTATATTCTATAACTATGAAGAATACAATTGTATTTTGGATAAAGGTACTGGAGTGTTTATTTGAGAATAAGGTTAATATGCAATACATAGGAAATGCCAATTGTTTTGCATCAATGCTTTAAGAGAAAACAACCTCTGCTACTGCTACTACTGTGGGTTGTTACTATCTTTTGAAACATTTTTGGAAGTATGAGGCAGAATCGTCTATAATTCCATTTCTGTTTACTATGAATTGCCTATTTATTGTATGGGCTAAGTGTTTGGAAATCATTAAGCGCATCGATTTTAATTTTTTATAGCTTTATGGCTGAATAAACTGAATCTCTACAGGTCTTTGATCAGTACGGAATCGGAGCTCGGCGTTCTTTCTGTACTCCTAATTTGTTGAAGGAAGTCAACTTGAAGGTAATTAATTACTTTCATGCTGTTACATTAGTTTAGATTAACGATAATGTTTTCATTGTTCTGCTCCATATTTGCAAAAGGACAAAATTGTGATTGTAAAATAAATACAGGTTTATGTATTTTGCTGCTGGATGTGTAAATGTATTGGAATTTGGTGTTATGTATGTTAGAGCCCTAAAAATGTGGTTACAATCAAACACACATGAAAGGTAAAATACAACACACATCAAACGCAAACTCGCTTTCCAAGGTGAGGGTGGCGACGGTTAGGAGAGGTGGCGTCAAGATAGGGAAGGAGTTTCTTGACTATGGATGATGGACAACAACGATTATGAGTCGCTATAGTAGGGGGGCAGCAAGGTACGACAGTCCAAACAGCAGCAATTTGCTGCTTGGGGTGGTTGGACAGCAGGAGAAGAACAAGGGGAAGACGTTTTGAATGCAGCAGGGGACGACACAGGGTTGCGACAGCAATGGAAGTGAGCATGGGCAGCTGGAAGGCTGTGAACTTTCTGAAACAACAAGGAGGGCTGGTGGCTGGTTCGGAAGGAGGATAATAGGTATGATGGAAAGCACGGGGCTAGAACATTTAATGGAAAAAGGGGGATGGTGGGGGGTGGGGGGGAGGTGGTGGTGCTGTAATCGCAGGGAGCTTGCTCTGGAATGCAGAAAATGCAGGGAGAACAACACTGGCGGTTGTTTCGGGTGGCTCCAGCAGAGAACGACAAGCATGAGCAGTGTGCGGATGATACAGAAGGGGAATGGGGAAGATAAAAATCACCTCGAGAGATATAATTAGAGCACCACCATTTCCTAAGATACAACCCTCAATGAGGAAAACTGATGTTAACGATTGTCCTGACAGAAATATGAGCCAAAATATGATTCCAAGCCCTAATACACACGTGTAGAGGAAATGACTAAAAAAGAATGAAGGATAATAAGAATGAAATCATAAAAGGAAGGAAAATGAGGCTTGCGATTCGTCTCCCCTTTTCCTTGCTCGCTGGAGTCACGGTGCTGATCCCTCTCAATAGAGGCAATTCAGGCAGTAGACTATATATTTCAAACGTCTGAGATCCTTTTATTTGAAGTTGCTCTATGTCTAATGTCGACTCCTCAAACTCATGGCACTTTTGGACATCCAATGTCAAGTCTGCTGATGCTCCTCCGAACACCTACAATAATGTAGCTTGAGGCACCGCAACCTCATTCTCTGTATGAACGTTCATTATCTTAGACTTACTTCATTAATAACAAATGTTGTCAACTCAACTGCAATCTCTCTCTAGAATTTCGAACATCTCTTCCTTGTGAATTGGAAGTTGAGAAGCCTCTTTGGAATATTCATATTCTCCTGAATCACTGTTTCTCTTCAACTACTCTCTGATCCGTGAAAGAGATCATTCTTCCAGTTGTGTAATCCGATTCGGTGCACCCAAATCCATGACACTTGAAACACTTCCCGACTGAGACGAGTTTGGGACAGCGGATTGGTCCCACCAAATCTCTACTCTAACCTACCGCCTTCTTAGGCAGGGTCTAGTTAGATGTTCTCTTGAGTGTACTTTTGCAGCAAGATCCTGGGGTTGAACCTTGCTTGTAAGATGTGGGAGTCGCCTAGTCATGTGGTCTCTCCACTTTTGAAGCTGGGGTTTGAAACTTCAGCCTGTAGTGAACTGGTGGATACTGACACCACATCTTCTTTTTCATCTTGGGGCAAATAGTGATCTTATCTTTCCGTTCACACTGGCTTATGTGCTTCAATTTTTTTCTCCAAAATAATACTTTTTTTTTAACTTACTGGCAGCTAGTTTCACTATTCCGTTTGTTGGGATGTCCTGACACGCAAAGATACATTCCAAGTTGCAGAGCCACTGGACGAACTTGTTTGAATCCATGTGACCGTCGAAATATGGCAACTCCACGTTTACTTCAAAACTTTGACTTCTCAGGTATTTCGGGTCACATATTCGAGGTAGAGGTTCTTCATCCCTAGAATCTGCATGATGGAAGAGGTTCACTCCTTCCCTACGATCTATAAATGACTCATCATGAATGTGGCAAACTCGGTTGTAGTTGGCGGGTTCCCGACTTGACATCCTCCTAAGAAATCCTGTATCAGTAAATATATTGGAATTGGGTGTTATGTATGTAAATGCCCAAAAAACATTTTATCTTGGAAAATTAAATTTTTGAAGTAATGGTGATAGATGAGTGCCATTTTAACTGATCCAGGATAAGATTATTAATGAATAAAATTTTGATATTAGTTGAACGTTTTTGCTAGCTAATAAGAGTACACGTGCAAAGTTTTATAAAAGATATTTCTTATTGTTATATACATCTATGTACACTAGGAAGGAGAAACATGATGAGTTGTTGGTCTGAAAAACTTGTTAAGTGGGTGTTATGATGTGGGAGGAGTAAAGGAAGTCTACCATCATATAATGCTAATTTAATTGCACATTGCTAAAATTTGTAAAAATGAAAAGAGCACGATAAAAATAAAAAAAATAATAATCAGCATTCTAATATTATTACATTTTAAAAGTTAATTAATTTATTCATTTATTTATTTCCAAATAATGTTTGTCGTTGTTATTGTAGTCTTATACACTCTCCTGCAGGTTGCATGCGCTCATGTTATATCATTCTATTTTGATGGTGCTATTGTTTAGGCATGCACTGACACTCTCCCGCGCATTGCTTGCGCTGATTTTATGTCATTCTATTTTTTGATGGTGCTATTGTTTAGTCATGCACTGACATTTTTTATTTTTTGTGCTAGTTTGGTAGATTATCTACAGGTGATTCTTTGGATATGTCTCCACAAGACGAGGGAGCAATTTTGGGAAATGATGCTGTTATCAAAGATATGGAAGTAATTGTTTTTTTTTTTGTTTTTATTATACATCAGTAATTGTGGTTTTTTCATTAAGATTTATTAGTTAATTAGTGTATGTGAAACTTAAATTTTTATGCATGTTTGCATGAGCTTGCACAAGTTTATGGACCTTATGTGGATATGTGTTATTGTGTTTCCATGCGGCTTTGAATTTCTTCCTCTTTTACATTCGGATGTAAAATATCTCAATTATGAGTATTACAAAGAGAATTCAAAGCTATTTCGTGAGTTCAATTCTTCTTTTAGGTAGTCCATTTAAGATAGAAACATGGTTCACTTTATGTTGTGAAATATATCTGCTTTACTCGTCGTTGGACCATAATTTTTTCTATATTTGATTAATAGTTTTCTTTAAACTAGCATACTTCAAGAATTTGTTCATTGCAGTTAATGTAGCTTATAAGTAATGTATTTTGTGAAGAGAGTTCACTCTCGTTTTGTGACTATTATAATATATGGTTCCAGGTTTTTTTTTATGTAACGTCCAAATTTCAAGATAAAGCTCCTCAAAATTTTTTCTCTTGGAATTCAATCGAAATAATTTTATTAAATTCTATGCATTAAATTAAACAATTCGATACAAAGTTATATATGAATTATGAATGGAGTAAGAAATATAAAATGTTGAAGTTACAAGCATAAATACCTTAAATAAACTTCAATTACCCTAATTAATCTTAATCCTAATCCTCAGCTACTATAGTTAACTGACCTATCAGGTGATAAGTATCGCTTCTGTCGATCGAAAAACTTCCAGAGTTTTGAAATCCTCTTTATCCCAATTCTTCTCTCCAGATTCTCCCTCTCCTTCATAGCAGCACTTGAGAGCGGGTCGGTTGAAAGATGCAACCTTGCTACAGTGAAAGGGACGCGAACATGCGAACTGAGCGGCGCACAGGGTAGTCGCAGCCTGTGTTTTGAAGCATCGGGGTGATTTTGTAAGTGTGAATCCGTCTCTTAGGTCGTTTGAGACTTTCATTTCTTTCCTCATCCTTCAGTTTTGACATTTGTCTCATTTTTCATGCTTTTCTCATTTCCGACAGTCGTCAGAGGCGTCAATTGTGCGTCGGAAGCGTCGATAGTCCTTTGTGAGATTCCGTAAGGGTTCTAACATGAAATCAGCTTAGGGGAGGTGCGGTTGGAAGTGATAGAAAGGAAATTAGGCGGTTTCGTACGAACCGGTTATGTCGAGAAGTCTATTTGAGATAAGTGTTGGAAGTTAATCTATTTTTTCGATTAACGCATGTTTTGAGCCAAATTGTATGAAATCTTATGTTGTTTATGAGCCCCAGGTTGTCTTTAAGTGGCGGCGAACTCGAGATGAGCGTGTTGTAGAGTTGTTTCGTTAAATTAGGTGAAATAATCTTGTACAAATTTAAAAAGAATAATCTTCTATAGGTTTTCATATGATTTTTATTTTGACTTGCATGCATTTAGAACTTTCTGCATATTGTAAATTGATACCTGAAATTAAAAGTATAAATGCACGTTTTCTTTTCTTATGATACATGTAATGTTATGATCAGACTATGCTCATTTTACTATACATATGATATGAATTTTCTGGAGGTATTCATTTGTTATGTTTCATGCCCATGCCTATGATACATGTAATGCCTGAGAAATATTTCATATAGTAATGATTATTTTCATGTCACACGAAATGTTAGGGGTAGACTATTACATAAGTGCATGAAAATGCATTATGCAGGGATATAGTATTCTCGACTCCTGATATTTATACGGGGACGAAACTTTTGGAACCGTTGGAACTAGACAGTGACAAAACTTTAGGGAATCATGGGTATCAAGGGGGCTATCTATAACTGTCATTAGCGGAAGCCCAATCTTTATCGATATTTTATATGACATTCAAAACAGGATGACAATCTATGATGAAAGGACATAGAAATAGTTGAACACTTTACATTAAACAAGTGATATTATTATAATTTGTCCTCTATGAATATACTATGGACATGTTTATGAACATTCTTTTGATTATACTTATGATTTCATGCTTACGACTAATATGTTACACTGCAGTCATGATTTTTTATTATACTACCTGTACCTACTGCCTTTTCATATTCTTAGTTTTGCTAGGATGTGATGATTTGTGTGTGGACAAATGTAGAAATGAAAATCATAACAAGACAAATGCAGAAACCAAAACAACTGAGTTACAGGACATTGTGTAGCTGATCTCCCAAGTGGTTGGTAAAATGACTGCTTTTGAAAAATCTTCCACCAGCAGAGGGCCCAGCCTGAAACTTTGGAGGAAGTTGATCGACATTTAAAGATTTTTAAATCTTTCATGCCACTTGTATTCAAGGGTGGCAGTGAATCTACAATTGTTGATGAATGGTTTTTGAAGATCAGAAAAATTCTAGATGGTATGATTCTCAATGAAAACAAAAAATTCGTACTAGCTACGTTCATGCTGAAAGCGAAGCAGAGAGATGAGACGGGCGCAACATGGAGAAAAATGTCAGCTGACACATCTTCCATAGATTCAGTGGGAAGAATTTCTTAAAGTCATTAAAGATTTATTTATTCTGCCATCAGCCATATTAGCACTGCAATATATGCTCTTCAATCTAACTCAAGGGTCTAAGACAGTTATGCAATATGAGGCGAAATTCACATCTCGTTCCTGATATGCAATCCCATTATGTCAGCACCCAGGAGGAAAAGTGTCACAAATTTATGTGCGGTCACAGAGATCAGCTTAGTTTGGCATTAGCTCCATTTGAAATCGGTGATTTTTTTGTGCTTGTTGAAAGGGCAAGAAGAATTGAAAATGAGCTGAACTTTTCCAGAAACGGTGACAACCTCATTCAACCAAGTGAAAGGATTTTGGCAAACGAGAGTAATTTCAAAGCAAGAAACTTAAATCAGAAGGTAAAATGAAGCAGCCATAATAAAAAAGCCAGTTTGTGAAAAATGTGGGAAGAAACATTTTGGACTGTGCTTGATTGGTCCTAAAAAATGATACAAATGTGGATAGCCAGGACACATTCAAATGAGATGTTTACAAGAAAAGAAGGCAGACAGTAAACCACAAGCAATCCAAGGATAGGGATAGTCCATAAAATTTTTGGAAGGCAGTCGTCCCGGCAGAGCTCAATTTTTGGGAAACCTTTAGTGCGAACAAATGTTGAAATTTTAGAACGCAGAACTGAGCAACTAGTAAAAGCCCGAGTTTTTGCAATTACCTCTCTAGAAGTCAAAAAATCTAAGGATGTTTTTACAGGTACAGTTCTAATTTAAGATTAGTTTGACATTGTTCTATTCGATTCAAGTGTATTTGTGACGAGTTTGCTGCCAATGTACCTGTTGATATTATACATTTTTCTCCTGCTCTATGTGTTGTTATGCTCTCGGGAAGTGGGTTTTTATGTCAGTATAAAATGTGTAGTGCATTTTTATGTTCATCATAAGAAATTGTCAATGGAGTTGATTATCATACCAATTCAGACCTTTGATGTTCTTTTGGGGATGAATTGGTTGATAAATCATTTTGTTACAATTGAATGCTGAAAAAAGTGGGTGAAACTGAAATCTCCTAGTGAAAAATCATTTTATATCTTATGTTACCGAAATGCATAATATTTCATGATTAGTGCAGTGAAGATTGGGAAGTATTTGTGACGCGGTGAATTGGTATTTTTAAAAAAAAATTAGAATTGCTAAATAAAAATGTATAGAAATTGAAAAATATCATAGTGGTTCAAAATTTTTTGTTGTATTTCCTGAAGAATTACAAGGGCTACCACCAGAATGAGAAGTGAAGTTTAGTATTAATGTACAACCATGAATGTCTGCAATATTCAAATCTCCTTACAGGATGGCTCCGAATGAATTACAAGAATTGAAATGTTCGTTAGCTGAATTGATCGATAAGAGTTTTATCAGACCAAGTAATTCACCATGGAGTGCTCCAATATATTTTGGTCAAGAAGAACGATAAATCCATACGTTTATGTATTGGTTACAGAGAGTTGAACAAAGTAACAATCAAGAACAAATATCCTTTTCCCTAAACTGATGATTTAATTGATCAGTTAAAGGATGCAGCTGTATTTCCTTGAATTGATCTGAGATTAGGATATCATCAAGTTAGAGTTATTGTGCCAAATATAATTATGATAGCTTTTGACACTAAATATGGTCATTATAAATTATTAGTTATACATTTTGGTTTAAATAATACTCTTGCAATTTTCATGGTCCTGATAAATCGACTTTTCAACCAGTATGTGGATCAATTTGTTCTTATTTTCATTGACGATATTTTGATTTGAGAAAATAAGATCTACATGAAGCTCATCATTCACGCTACACAGTTCATCCAGACAGCAAAAAATGTACAAGGATTTGAAGTTGGCATTCTGGTGGTTAGGTATGAAGAAGGATATTGCCGAATATGTATCTCAATTTCAAACATGCCAGATTGTAAAGACTGAGCATCAAAGACCCAACAGATTGCTACAATCCTTGCCAATACCTGAATGGAAATGAGAAGAAATTGCTATGGATTGTGTTATGGGTTTTCTCGATCCTGATAGGGTCAACCGCATTTAGGTTATTACTGTTAGATCAACCAAGTCAGCTCATTTCTTGCTAATCAGACAGATAGATTCAGTAGAAAAGTTGGCCATATTATATTTCAAGGACAATTATTAGATTGCATGAAATTACACAGGCTATTATTTTTGACAGAGACAAAATTCACATCCAGGTTGTGGAAAGACATTCAAAAAGGTTTGGGTACATAGTTACATTTCAGCACTACATTTCATCCACAAATCGACAGATAATCACAAAAGACAATTCAGGTGCTGGAAGATCTGTTAAGTTTTTATATTCTTGACTTTGGAGGTAGTTGGGAAGGTCACATTCCAATAATCAACAATAGCTATCAATCCAGCATCAAAATGGCTCCTTATGAAGCTTTGCATGGCAAAAATTGA